TGCCAGAGGAATAAGATCCCACACCTCGAATTAAAGGTTATCAATTGCCAGGGCAACCACCTCCATCAAAGTGCCCAAGAAAATCTGAATGTGTAAGTTACATTTCTGATGCAAGAAAGGATATCTCTCTTCAGTCAAACAGAGGAGGAAAAAAATGTGACGTGTTACCAAAAAGATTTAATGCTATGAAAAATGAAAAACTAAACAGTGTAATTCAGAGGTAGTTAGGAGTACACAGTTGGAGCCCCATGAACATATCGGTAATAAGATCTGCAGGTGTTTCAACGCCAACGATATGAGGATATACGCGTCCACCGGTCCTACTGCGTGAGGCAATTCCACAAGACTGTGGAAAATACAATCAAATCCAAACAGCACCAATAAGAAAAACAATGGCTGAGGCAATTGCAACTGCAATAATGTCACCAGAGCTGTTTTGTAGACACTAAAAGCTGCTCCAGAGACAAACATCTGATAAAAAAGAAACTCCACTCCGCCATAGAGCAAATTTCCTCTCTAAAGCAATTTTATATTCGATAAGTGGGAAGGCATTCTTAGCGTAATGGATCTGAATATGATCTCTGTCAGAAAACTAAGAACATAGCCTTGTATAAAAGCCCGGTTTGCAGAATAGCCAGTACTGCTGCATCAGATAACCAGATTGAAGAGTGCAGGAAACAAACTATAGATAGAGATGCAAAGCATTCATATTTCTGATGAATAGGTGAGCTGATAGATCTCTGTTCCTCTGTCCTTCTTGCTCTTTCCATGAAGGTGAAATGTAAAAAAAATGCAGGCGGAGGGACAAATTGTTATCTGAACCATTAAACAGACATGGACACACACACACGCGCGCACACACACACACACACACACGCAAAGACACAAAACTCAACTGAAATGCACACTTTGATTTTCATTTGTTTAAAGGCTAAAAGAAACAGAAAATAGCTTCTACAACTACCAAAAAAACAAGCAAAAACAAATACAACTAAAGACCTACCTATGCCCTCCTCACAGACGCACACACACACACTCACTGCCTCCCCATACGTCGACACACAGAATATGACCATTGTACAGCCAGATCTGTTATCACGGCTAATTACTACTCCCACCTCAGATATACAGGGCTGTAATTAGCCTCTTAAAACATGATTAACATGTCTCAATTAAGCCAGTCAACATTTGCATAATATATTAGCTGTCCTAATTGCGAGTGAGTTTATATCAGAGGACAGGGAACAGCAAAAAAACATGCTGTTGCTTCTGAAGAGCACTGATAATGTAATGAATATAAATATGAATATAGAGGAAATGTCAGTGGCTAAAGTGGAATCCAGTCTATTTATGTTTGATATAACTCACTTTAAAAGCAAAGATAAACTTACAATCACCACATCTCCGCTCAGACTACTTATAAAAATATATTGCATGTTTGTTATTATTCACTTAGAGGAACGTTTCTGGGAAGTGGAGGAAGAGTTTCCTATAAACTCGCAAATCAAAGCCCAGCAGCATTTTCTCAGGAAAACTTCGCACTCGTTTTGAAGTTATTTATTTGAAGTCATTTATGAGAGAACAGACAGAGTCCTGTTCGGCCTTATTTCCGTGGAAACTAAAACATGGGGGGATAAACTGCTGCTTCGGCACTTCCAAGCCAGGGACAGATATACAGTCTCCCAGCTAGCGCGGGGAAACCAAGGACATAGCCATTAGTTTCAGGACAGCGCCACATTGGAGACTAATGCCTCCATCTGTCACTGGAGATGAGAGGAGAGTAACAAAGAGAGGCAACACTAACCCCTGAACTCATCATGGACAGCCATGTCAATTAAATACTGAAAAACAGCAGCACTGGGAGCCATAGTGACCAGTCTATCCACCGCTACATGGGAGCTCAACTAGTACCTCCGTCAACATTTAATGTTAATGTCACAGAAAATACCATAAATTGTAAATCTGACATTTTATCACCAAGCACCTTTACATTTATTTCAAGCCTACCAACTAGAGCTGAAACAATTAGTTGATTAATGGATTAGTTAACTGTCAAATTCCATCTGCAACAATTTCGATAATCTGTTTTTTAAGAAAAATGCCAAAAATGTTTTTGTTTCCAGCCTTTCCGATGTGAGGATTTACTGCTTATCTCTGTTTCATTTCATTGCAAATTCAATATCTTTGTATTTTGGAGCTCTGATCAGATGGAACAAGACATTTGAAGATGTCACTTTAGCCATCTGGACTGTTAAACTACTTGAAAGTGACCAGATCAACATCACTGTGAATATATAAGATCTGTGTTCATGTCTAATTAGCAGTGTAAGCTTTGAGAGGGTGGGGTGGGGGTGCTGCAGTTAGCGGGACCGACTGATTCAGCAGGTCTCCAGCTTTGATAAGTTCAAGCGGTGTAATGCATTATCCGTCTGATCACATTAGTCATGCAGGAGCTCTCCATCTGACCCGAGCCTGCAAGGGGGTAATGTGAGGCTGCTGACATAGAGTGGCCTGACGAAACAGTCCCAGGCCCACAGATAGAGAGACAGACAGAGAGAGAGAGGGAGAGAGAGTGTAAGAGAGAGAGAGAGAGAGAGAGAGAGAGAGAGTAGGCCTGAAATCTGACACCCAGAAACACTGACTTGGTGTCTGGCTTCTCTTACTTAGTCAACCTGTACGTGCCAGCTTCCATCGCCGTAATGGTTCCACACAAACAAAGACGCTCTCCAAACTCTTTTCACAGGATGTGAAGCAAACACAGGAAAACTAATTCTAAGTGCTCTCAGGAACTGTAAAAACAATGATGATAGTTTAAAAAAATTTTTTAAAAAAAAGCAGAGAGGGGCCGGTAGTCAGGGCAAACATTTTTTTGTGAAACACAACACTGGCGGCCAAAAGGAACGTCTGTAAGAGGTAACACAATCCACCGCTGTTGGTTTTCCATAACCCAGCATGTGAATCTGAGTGTGTTTAAGCTTGCTAAATACTCTCCCACAGTGACACGCGGCCGACCCCGGCACAAATATACAGGGAGAAGGGTGGGGTGGGGTCATCAGTTAAGGCCTGCTCTGTCCGCTAATGGCATGCACTCCTGCCGTGTTTGTCAGCTGCTTGCCAATGGACACCCCTCTGCTGCAATGTCCCATATTGCTGCTGTCAACACTCACATGCCACTGATATACCACGAGGAGGAGGTGCATGCAACACACGTGTGAATAACTACATGCAACACATGATATATGATCTAAAGAAATGTTTCCTCCCTTCAGTAAAAGGTCGAGGAGAAGGGCTGCTTCAAACCTGAACTGCTGCACTCATCTCCTCCTGCTCGCACTTCTTCTAAAAGACACTCTGACTGCAACAATGTAAAAAGCAAGGAGAAGCTGACTCTTTATAAAGAATATAAAAAAGACCTGACAAATTACAGGCTGTACTCCGCTCGCATACACTGCACTCAGCACATTTGGCTGTAAATGCCATGGTGAAGGTTTGAGTCATTTTCTCTGTCACTGCAGTGAAAGGATTTTCAGTTTCGTCTGCACAAACCTCCTATGGGCGAAGATGAGCCGCAGCTCAGCTCTTCAGACGTAGACAGGGAGGACACAGTGAGGCAGCCATTAAGACTTGATTCTCTCATAAATTGTTTTGGCTTATTCTTAACTTTTAAATGCCTTTCTGCCTTCATGAAAACAATGTAGTTATTTACGAGCTTGCTGATTTGCGGTTTGGAGCATGTTTTTCAAGCACACTTTGAGTAAGAATCGATACATACAGAAAAGAGAAAATATAAACTATGTTGAATTATGTTCATTTCCAAACTTGGTTGTGAACAGAGGAAAGGAGAACTCGCAGGCTGAGGGGGAGCCTCTCTCATCAGAAGCTCTGTGAAATCCTGGTTGCCAAGAACGGTGGGAAGAGAGGAGAGGCAGGGGGAAAAGCCAGGAAAAGGTCCAAGTCACTTTGTTCTTCTTTTTGGAAACGAACTCTGGTTGAACCCAGGGAGACGCCAGACAGTTTACAAAGAGCCAGGCATTACTCTCTCACTTTTCCAAGCCTTGCAATTTAGGAACAGGGCCCCAACCTACTATAGTTCCTCCTCACAGACCGCACTCTTTAACCTTTGTAAATCTGGTGAAAAAAAGTGTCTGCTGCTTCCTTCTACTTATTTTTTAGACAAACCTGTGCCAAATTCTGACTCATACGAATGAAATGCCGGCGAATAACAGTTCATGTAAAATTAAGGAAAATGGTATTGCCTCCACGCTTGCCCTGTGTTTATTTTCACCTGTCATGGCTGTGAATGCAACAACACCAGACAAAGTGACAAGGCACTCTCAATAATCTCAAAGACAGCTTCAAAGTTGTGTTCGCAGATAAGGTTATATTGGATATTTTGTTTTATTTCCTCCCTCGAAAAAAAAACAGTGCACTGCCACATCCCTCGGAGGATGTTCACAGGCTTTCATCATGTGAGTCGCTCCTCTTTTAATCTGCTGTTAAGTGAGTAATAATTCACACATTCCATTTCATGACTTTGACCCGCGTCGCAAAGATAAACAGAAAATCCCTCTGACCTGCCTTTAAAACAGCTCACTTGGGCCAAGGAAAACAGACAGAGAGGGGTGAGAAAGCACAGCCCCAGAAAGGCCCAAATGTCGGCATGAAAACACTCCAGTCAAATGACAGCATCTCATCTGGGGCCAGAGCTTTTCACATGCATGGTGTGTGACGTTTTTCAGGGAAAACATGTCATAAATCATAAAAAAATATGCCAAATGCATTTCCAGTGACTTAAGAGAGGCATGTCACAATGATCTGTGCTTTGTACAGTTAAATCTATATTCTTTTTTTTTTTAAATAATAGAAAAAAATAAAGAAACAATGATGCTAAGATACCAGTAATACACTATTAGACCATCAAATGTGCCATATTCTCACCAGTATCAGTAGTGAGCGAGCAAAGATCCAGCAAACAATCTAAACAATAAAACAGAACTTACCTGTTTTTTCCTTTATTTCACACAAGACGTTGAAGAGAGCAGGTTTCATTCTGTGGCAGTTCAGTGCATGTTTCCTAAAAAGAGCACAGCACACCACTTTCCACATCAGTATTCAAACAAGTGGCAGTAACAGTAACAAAGCAACTTAAAAGAGTCTCAAATCACAAAAATATCATCATAAGGATTCAGATTCCAGATGTCACTGCTGTGAAGCAGGCTCAATTATAAAAGATGCCAAAGAATAGAAAAATGTTAATAACATTTACACTGAATTCATAGTCTTTCAATTTAATTATTTTTGTCACATAAATAAACAATGAGAGACTTTGGAAAACCCAGATTTTTTCTAATACGCAACAAAATCCAGCCGGTTACACTACAACTGTAGCATGCCTCAAAAATGTATTTTGCATGATATTTATTATTATCATTATTTGATAGTGAAATGGGTCCAAACTAAAAGAGAGGATCTGCAACACGTTATTACCGCACAGGATTACAGTGTAAGCTCCTTTGTAACAAGGTAGAAGTGTCTGGGAAACTGGAGTGGCAACTGCTCCACAGTTATAAAAACCCCTCCACGGATCATCCCAATCTACAATAATCACACAATAATGAATAGTTTGATGGAAAAATATTCACTCGAAAGTTGTTTCAAATAATCAAATGTGAAGTTTTTCACGGTCTTTTGTCGCTTTCGCGCAGTCACGGCACTTCAGTGGGCGTAATTGCTTTCATTTAGAGGCAGTCTAGATACAAACCACAATCCCTCCATCACCAGTAACACTGCCTAATATTTCCGCTCTCCGATTAATAATACAAGTGTTTCCACCCCCCCATAGCCTCACCTCGCCTGTGCTTCGTCTAAGCTTTGGTCTGTGATGGTCATTATTTGCTGTAATATGTCTCCGATGTCCTGCTTCCTTCCCTCTCCGTCCGTCCCCGCCGTGCCATCCTGCATATGCTGCGCCAGGCCGGGGTGTCCGGCCATGCCTACCCCGTGGGAGTGCATCAACCGAGGCTGCTCGTCCATCCTTGACCACGGTCCCTGCTGCCTCGCCTCCAACTTTTAAATTTTAATATCAAGAGGAGGTGGGGTGGGGGTGGTGGTAGTGGTGGGGGGGCGGGGGGGGGGTCAAAAGAAGGCAAAAAATATCCTCGGAAATTCCTCTGGATTCCTCTGCGTCTCTCTCTCTCTCTCACCCCCGACACTCCTCCTTTTTCCTTGGTAAGATTTTCTGGATTTGGGAGGAGGGAGACTGACAAACCCTCTCCCTGCTCTCTCCTTCTCTCTCTCTCTCTCGCTCTCTCTCTCTCGGTGTCTCTCCCAGCTGGTTTAGGTGAAATCTGATCTGAATCGCTGCTTTTGGCTTTGGCCACTCCTGCACCGCTACTGTAGGGAAGAAGAAGAAGAAGAAGAAGAAGAAGAAGAAAGAAAAAAAAAAAACAGGATTGAACATTAAAGGCTCCTAATCTGATTAAAAGTGGAGCGCGCTGAGCTCCCTCTTATGAAACCTCCGATATGCTCGAGAGCTTGATGCGCTAAAACGCGCTAAAAGACTCAACTTGCCTGTGAAGGTTTTGGATACAAAAGTAACCACCAACTGTTATTGTTTCGCTTATGTCTGGTAACTGACTCATAATCAGAGTATGGATGGAAAGCCTCCGCCCCTCGAGCCACGATTGGAGAAGAAGGGGCGCGCAAGTCCCACCTCGGTCCTCTCCGAAAACGTCAATCATCCTCCTCAGGAAGGTGGGACACTGTAATAAACATAAAGAGATGTGACCGGACCGGGTGGCCACACAGTGATGGATAGAGAGTGAATATGTAGCCTAATAAATAATTGTGAGTGGCAGTGGAGCTCTGACCCAACAGGACAGCATGGCGGTGCTTGGAAAAGACACTCTGTCAACCAGACTATATATTTTACCGCTGAATATTTACATCCGTGTAATCAGTCAAAGGAATAATAAATCAAGATGAATTTATTAGAACGTGCAGCAGTTTGTGGGCAGCACATTTACAAGCCTTATGTTGTAGGGACCAACAGTTGTAAGAGCAATTTTACTGATCCCCCAGTCTAACCAGCCTTTTATTTAAACATTTAACAAATGAAAAGAAAGAAAGTTAATAGGCAACTATTTTGATAATTGATTAAAGGGGAACTCCACCAGTTTTACACATCAAAGTCTGTTTACAGGTCTGAGGGTGTAGTATGTGGGAAAAGCCATATAAAGCCTTGTTGTGGCTCCAGAATCTGATAAATTTCCTCAAGTGATGTCACTTGAGTCAGACCTCTGTAGCCTGTTCCTCATCTCCGCTCGAGGCCAGCGGCTCCAGGCTACATTAGCCTCTACTAGCATAACATCTGAATGAAGTGACGTCAGTCGAGTTGTGTCCGACAATGTTATAGGAGTGCAATGCTAAATCGGTGGAGTCCCTTTTAAATGTTTTTAAAGCTAAAATGCCCAAAATGTAATATTTTGCTTTGTTTTCTGATTGTTGGTCAGTCAAAACAAGCGTTTTGACTACCACGTCAACTAGGGCCTCGCAAAATCGTCTTTTTCTGACATTTTATTGACCAATTGATTAATGAATTAATCAAGAAAATTGCCAGAATGGTAAATCAATAATAAAAATAATTGTTATTTGCAGCCCTAAACTAGACCTGTACCTAAATATGTTACAATTCTTTGCATCAAACATTTAATATTTGTTATCTCATGCCAATCATCTTCCTTTAACACCTAAAAAAATATATAATTCATAATGTGCACGTGCTGCAGTTCTGTGCCTCAGAGTCTGGTCTGTGCTATATCCAAATGCTTCCTTCCCTTCTTTTACTGGCCGGACAGAAATCGATCAGTCAGTTTTCTCATTACGTGCTGAATAGGGAGGTAGGGCAGTAATTGTCACAAGGGGCAGGGTGAGGTTGAGGGTAGTGGTGGTGATAATGTCTGACACTCAGGAGCTGCAAGACTGCACAGCACAGCCCTGAAATGGAAGTCTGCAGTCCAACAGCCATTCTGCTTGATTTTATTCCCTATTTAACAGGGTTATAATGATGGAGGATTATCTTTGTGTTGTAGACCTTAAAAAGGAGAGTGGTGGTTCAGCTGTGAACATGTACACTCTAAAGTGTCAAAAAAATATTCATCAGACATGACAAATATCAAGTTTTTCTTATATATATGTATTTTTTTAAACCAAATTATTCATCTACAAAACTGTGAATATAAAACCAGACTCTGATGTCAGGTTGGTTATTCAAATCCTCCCACACATCAGTCTTCTTAGGTCTGATTTAAAAATCAAAGACTGCATTGATTAATGTGAAATATGATCTAAAGGCCTCATTCTTTTTGGTCTAAATTCAAATTTATTCCACTGTAAGCCAATAGACAGAAATGACCTTATTGCTTGTGGAGGCTTTTTGGAAAGTAAACTCTAAATAGAATAAATAAGACCTTGTTTGGGGCTCTGATTGCTGTATTTCACAAAATAAATACTGCATTTGCACCCTAATGAAAGAGAAAAAAAAACATCTGACATCGCATATTTTCCCTCCATTAAAACCAAATGTGTTGTTGCAGCATTAATAATCCTGCAAAAAAGGAATAAGTGGGATTTGATTATAATTGCAAATTAATTTTGATGTAAAAATATTCTTATAAATAGTAGATGTTTTTCTCCAGAAGTTGCAGAGTTGTTTTTCTGAGACTGAAAATGTTAATGCCAAGCATGTCGGTATTCCCAAAAGAAATGTGAACTAGTTGAATTTGTTGAGTGGTGTTGTGTTTACCATCATCCAGTGAGGCTGCTCTGATAAATATGGAACAAGACTGAATGTACTATACATTATAATACATTTGTGATTGGAAAATGGCAGGTTTTGTGTTCAGTTTGAGTCCCCTAAACCAAAATAATGTAAAGTCTCAAGTAATGTTAGGACACTGTGCCAAATATGAAGATTGTTATAAAGCATTCATTAACTGTTTATGGATGTTTTATGAGAGCAGTTAGCATAGTTGTTGACAAATGCATTAAAACATTCTAAATGCGTATAAGGGTTACCAGATATCTTATAATCAAACCATATAAACCAAACCTCAATATTTCAAGCTTCATAACAAACTCATGCTGACTCCACAGCACATGTTCTCCTATCTGGACCAGGGTCAAACAACTCCTCCCAGAGAGAGCTGCAGGTCAGAGCAGGGTAAGTTATGTATGAGCTAGGAACACATCGAGGGAGAAAGCAGCAACTGCATGGCACATCTCTCCAGGAAGTAACCTTGATGAAAAATTCAGTTGTTTGCAGCTCCTGGTGTCCCTCAGGCATGAATAAAGTGAGGCCCAGACAGAGAGAAAAGACCTGGGCTCAGCTTGAAACTACTCACCGACCCACTGCTGGGGAGCACACACATCGGCTAGCATTAGAAGATGGGCACGAATTAAACTTTAATCGCACCTCAAATAGATTAAACGACAGGAGCCGAGTCAGCATTTCCAAGCCCTCGCTCTGCCTCTGTTGACCATCCTCCTTTGAACTCCTGCTAAATTAAATACCCACAAGTCCCAGTTTCTTTGCACCTCAGATTAGCTCTTTAGCAAAAGAGATACTTGAAACAAAGCTGAGCTAGGAAGCAAAATCTGCACAGCAGCCCAGTCATTAATGTGATATTATATATAAATCATCTCATTAAAGGTTTGCTCCAGAGATTTAGTACTGCACTTTCATAAAGTTGGGGCAGTTGCGAGGGGACATATTCATTGATACAAGGGATGCAGCAGAGGACGAGATGTCCTTTTAGTCCTTTATGCTTTATACTTTTATATCTTCGTGTAGGTCAAGGTTCAAATATGCTGATTCCTACGATAAAGCTTTCTCAGTGGAGACATGTCACAGCTGGAAAAACAGGTGTAAATAATACAATGAATGATGGCTGAATTCCATTTAGCAGCTTCAGTTTCAGGATCCTGGTATTGTGCATGTTTGCCATGAATGCATTCTGAGTTCCAAGATGGCGCTCAAGTTATTCCTATGAAAGTTATTCACTGGGCGCATACGACCAAAAGATTTTTAGGCTTCTGCTTTTTTAGTCCTTCTCTTACCGAGCCAGTTGAGTGTGTGCGGGTTTGAGTCTTTCTTGGCCCCCTGCTCACACGAATGGCATAAATAATAACATTTATTGATATGGCTTTCTAGACATTTTATTGAACTGAATGGATCAAGTTCTGATAACAAAAAGATTCAGGATGTGACGCTCAGAAAGATTTATTCATAATTTTACAGCCGTTCCTTTTGTGCGCGCCACATGATCCTGCAATACCGAGTGTGGCCACTATATCAACATTGCCTCACAGTTTAAGTTTCAAAATGTCTGCTTTAAAAAATTTCCTTTATGAAACTCAAAACATCTCTCATTAGACCTTCCTCAATGAGAGATGTTTTGAGTTTATATCTCTATTATATGTAAAATTGGTGTAGTTTCCCTTTAATTTAGTTGTTGCAATGAGCATTATGATGGTTTTCTTAATGAAGATGAGGGTTATTACTCTGATTTATAAAAAAAGGACTTGTGTTGCCCCCATTTTGTGCCTTTGTTTAAGGAAATTACATTTTAAGACCCGACAGTCTGTTTGAGATGGAGATTTTATTCAGTGTTTCCTTGTTAGTTTGAGTGAACAGATTCTTGCCTTCAACCCAGCAGGATTCGTCTGTATCTTGTAGCTGGATGTCTCTTTGTGCAGCTGAGGCTGGGTCAGGGTGAAGGATGACTGATATGAAGGGGTTGACCTGTCACATAGCATTTGACTTACTATCCTTGGAACAGGATAAAAGGGAAGCCAAATGTCAATTGATACAAGTGATGCATCCTCACACACACATACACACACACACACACACACACACACACACACACACACACACACACAGGGTTGAGAAGATGAATGTTTCATAATAATACCTAAAACCCACCAGCCATTCTGTGGATGGCATGTAAAAACAGTACGCTTATCATTTTCGTGAAAATAATAGTCACCGTGGCACTCGCAGTGTGTGTTAGCCACAGGATTTCCATGCCCTTTTCTCTGAGTGTGTCTGTTCTTGCT